TTTCGTATTTTTTGAAGTATCAGTTTAGTTTACGTCATTAATAATATTCTATATGTTTAATAATAATCTAGTAGTATAATAGCTCAATTTTGTTCAATTATGTAAGTTAGAGTATTTTGTTCATCGCAATTTATTGTTCAGCAACTGAATTCAAATTGTTCAAAAATGAAAAAAATGATTATTTTAGTAAGAATAGTTTCTATGTAATTGTAAATAATATAGTCATCAATTCTATGATGAATATTGTTAAAAGACGAAAAAAACTCATTGAATATATATAAATGGTTTACCTGTAATGAATATGTTACAGATGTAAACTAGCAGCAACAAAAGTAATCATTTTTTTTCTCGTTAATTATTAATTAATATGTTGAACAAAAAACATTTTTTATAGCCATGATAAAAATATGAAATTTTAGGTAAGTTTTATTGTTGATATCAAAATTTTTGGGATAATATCACTGTCAATGTGAGTAACTAAATATTCTTAAAGGAGAAATTTGTTTTTTTAACAAGTATTCACTAGTCAGATGAAATAACTGATTTTATAATAATTGTCATGTAGCCATAGTCAATATTTGATTATTCTTGTATTTTACTGTTATCTTAAATCTTTAGAATAAATTTATTTTATAACCGCCTATTTGGTTACAGAAAAGGCTACGTCTTGGAAACTCCGGACCTTTACTACGCACACAGTTCTCGAACTTGTCTATCCGTTCCTTTCATTTCAGTTAAGTTGAGAATATACACACCAAACGTCGTCAGTATTTCGATGATCTGTTCTTAAGGATGATATTGAACCTGTGCTTCCACTCTTACCCATAGGCAGAAAAAAAAGGGAAAGGGGCATCTTTTTATAGAGCCATGTTCTTGAGTTTAAATAAAGTCTAATTTCAAAATTCAGTTAATATTGAAATTTTCATGTACATGTATTGGTCAACTAAAATATTCAAAAAAACACAAATTGTCTACTATTCGCATCATAAAATATGCTTTTGTTTTTGTTTTGTATTTTTTGTAAACAACACACACTAAATCAGATAGACTATCTTGATAGGAGAAACACAAAATATCTAAATGTACAGTTTTCAAGCAAAATCTTTGTTGATGTGATTATGATAATCTCTACAACAAATTGCCGCAATTCAAAAGAAAGAATTTGATATATTTTAAAGAACTATCAAACAAATCATGAAATTTTTCAATTTGAACATGTAATAATAATAATAAGGTAACTCATTTTTTCAAAAGAAGAAAATACGAAAAGAAATGCGATTCATAATACCTCTCACAAATGCAATATCAATTGTTGTATCAAAGTACCAGTTCGGGTAAGAAATGAAAACTTCAAGTGAGAGTATTGAGCTAATGCATATAGCTAGCAGATTACTAAAGTTTAGAGTGATCTATACAATAGAATTGTTGACGATTGTGTACTCTAGTGGTCATTCTTCGTTTATCTTCTATACAATCTTGAGATATGCAGTATCATCTTACAAATGTATTAGGCTCGAAATCAATTTTTGTCATTTCTTCTAATTGATAAAAAGAGGCTACTATCGACAAACTAAAGCAGTGATCGGAGTCGTGGTTTTGATTCTAGCGAGCGACTTACTCGAATCTTGCTGGGATCTTATAGTAATCTTAATAAGATTTCATATTCGTTTAAGACCTTTACCAGTCTAATTGATTATCTAGCCTATACTGCTAAAAATAGCAATTGCATAGATTCGAAGAACGAAGAGAAATTTCGTATTTTGGGACGTTCGATCGTAGACCTCCAAGGAAAAGTAAATAAAAGAGAAAATCTAGTTGCAAAAATAGCTGCAGAACTTGTTTCTAGCTGGATGAGCAAACTAAAAAGTACATTTATCTAGCTGTAAGCTGATTTGAGATCGTGTTTTAACTGAAGCAGTTGCTGCATGGGTTCTAATTAATCGCGCACTTCATTGTCTAAAGAAATCTAAGAAATAGACCTTTAATCTAGGTGCAAGTGCCCGTTTCTCGACTTTTTTGTTCATGATTTTTCCGAATGAATGGATAGTCCAAAATGTTCTGATGGTGGCTTTGAAGCATGAGTCAAACAAGCCGCGGCAAATGTCCTGAAATAAAAATGACCTGTTCATACAATGCGTTTTTCTCGAAAACTATTTTTTTTGCTATCGGGCTTTATTGTGTCACATTACCAACAACCTTAAGTCTCATCGGATCAAGGTAAAAATTTTATCAGAGGTACTCAAGGTAATAACGCAGAGGTATTTTTTTGGATTTTATTTTAGATATTTCTTTACCGATTTATAAGATTTCTAAAATTGAAATACTGAGGCCTTTTTTCAGTATTTTCCCTATAACTCGACCAGAAAAGGTCTTAAAAGTATTTCCAAAAAATACCTCTGTGATATTACCTTGAGTGCGTCTAATAAAATTTTTAACTCGATCGGACGAAACTTAAGGAGGGTCGTAATGTGACACAATGAAAAACCGAGTTTTCTGGAAAACTCGTGAGCGGTATCAGTTAAAAACTTGAAACTTGAAACAGGAACGAAAAAATGCTTCATTGAGTTTCCAATTAGTTCTGAAAATAGGAAGCCTTATTGACTTTTAGTTTTTATTTCACAGCATTTCTACTGAAAGCCCAAAAAGAGGGGAGGGGTATCCCTAACTATCGATAGTTGCCTGTTGGAACATTGGTAATGAATATTTATCTATTTTTTAAAAAAATTCGCAATGTATTAAGCTATTTCTCTGGATACTAAAAAATTTATATCTCCCTCAAAACTGACATTTTTAACTCGCGTTTCGATAAGGACATTTCTAAGAACTCGTCCGACTTATTTCTATTACAAATTTTTGAATCTTGAACAAGTTTTCGAAATATTTTTCTAGTAGTTATGAACGGGATGAAAACTACAAAACTATGATCGCACGTATGTCTGCCTTCTAAACCTCTACTCTGAAAAAGATATTCATCTTATTTTCCTCAGTTGTTCCTTTTCGAACAAACTCTATTTTTTAGATCTATAAGAGACCGAGAGATCGTGTGCTTATTATTTAAAATGAAATGAACACATTTGTTTTATGGCTCTATCTATTCGTTTGTGTAAGCAAACACTAATTGATTGCCGTTTTCAAAAGTAAAATTGAATTTTATTGTGAATATTGTTTTAGGGATGTAATTTAGCTTATATTAAATGTTGTTTACCTAGTGTAAGAAATCAATTTCCACTACCAACCACTATAGCAAACACGATGAAGACTGAGATGACTGATCAGTCATCAAGTACAGATATTTTTAATAGATCACAATTTAGTCACCTTCGACTTCGTTCAGTCGATAAACAAAATTTGATTAAAAAATCGAGTTTATATTGTACACTACGTTGTATGTATGGATATCAAGTGACAAGTAATGGAACTATTATTTGTCAATGTGCTGATCCATGCAAGGTACAGTAAAAGTACTGTCTTGAATAATATGAAAGTTATTAACTAAAATGAGCTTGTAATCAACAATAATTTACTAGTTTATCTCCATCATGGTCAATCGAAAAGAGTAGAATTACATTTCTTATCTGATCGTGGTCGAGATACATAATTTTATACTATTATAATTCAAATTTTTATACAGGAAACTATTTGTGACAAAGATGAACTATGCATTCCAATTATAAATCAATGTCACGATGGTCTATGCACATACAAACAAACTTGTACGGGTATGTTTGAGAACGACTTTGACCAGTAGCACTTTATCCTTCTGTTACGTAGGATTTTATTATTTTAGTATATTGCCTTTCAACAGCAAATCAAACTTTGTGTGAACATAATTCTTCAAGATGGTATTTTGATCCAATTGATAGACGATGCAGAAAACAAAATTCAACAGATAATTGTACTGAAAATTTGAGTTATTTTGAAATGCTTAAAGATTGTCGGAAAGCTTGTCCAATACGAAAAAGAAAAAATCAGAATCAAAGTAGGCATTTTATTAAGAATAATCTTACATTTATAATAACAGGTAATCGAGAGAAAATTGACAGCTTTTGTCATGATTTAGTTCAAAAAGTTTCGTTATGCTACTAAAAGATAGAAAACTTTTTGTACATTTTAGTCTTGTCTTCTTTTGAAAATGAGCATCTGCCGATTTTTTGTAGCAATAAAACTAGTGGAAGCCGTTGAAAGTTGCTTTGCTCAGCAGTTGATTAGATTGAAATACGATTTTTAAATGTTGATTAGTTTTGTTGCGTGTTTCGAAGTCGACACTAAAAAAGTCGATTAAATTCTAAGTTTTCCTATCACAAAATGAAATTTTCAGACGGGTATTGTGATAATAAAAATCACCTAACATATATGCCCTTTTACCAGCTATTCTGTGACAGTAATATCGAATTTTCAATGAGAATGAGTTTTACTGCAAAAACATTATTACAGACAGATGAGTGCTAAATAAAATTTTCCATGCGAATATATCACACTTAAAATGTACCCTTATGATAATAGAGATATTTTGTGTACATTTTAAAAGACATAATTTTCCGAGCTGTCTCCTCTGATATTTCGGCTTTTACAAAAAGACACAAACAAGTATCCAAGAACAAATGCATTACTATAATATATCTATCTATATAATATATATAGATATACTTAAAAATATTCTAGTTTTTATTAGAACCAAAATTTCCCGAACTAAATCAGTCAAAAAATTAGTTTAAAAATTTTCTGTTTATCGGATTTTTTTGAGCAATTTAACTTTTATAGTTTCCACTAGTTTTTATTGCTACAAAAATGGGTAGATGCTTATCTTGAAAAGAACAGCAGAATAAAACCTACACAACTTTCCTATCTTTTGGTATCATAAGGTAAATTTTTGAGCGGCTTTAACTTGGGAAAAAACTCATCGGAAAGTCGTCAGTGATAATCTGGATCACCCGTTAATAGCTATGTGTTTTCTAGCATCACCAAAATTGAAACATACCAACATTATATCGCAAGAGGAGATGACACTACCACCAGCTATCGTTAATTTGAAAATTTATTTCGATAATAGCTATTTTACAACACCAATACCGACTGCTACCGTTAAACTAAATATTGAAATTATAAAACAAAAATTTACCGATTGGATGGACGTTGTTGTTGAACCATCAGATCAAAGTTTTTATGCAGCACAATTAAGATACTTTCAGGGTAATCGTTATGGTAAATTCTATTATTTGTACATATTTTCTTCTACTCTAGGATATAGACGAAGATTTGAAAATTTCGTAAATCCGTTTGGTGTTAACGTAAAAAAGTTTCATGTCGTATCAGAGCAATTGCCTAATAATGTATCCGTTACTATACGTACGCCAAACTTAATTGGTGCGTTCCCTGATCAAAATGTAAAGTAATTTTTTTGGTTAATTATTCTTCATGTGAATGATTAAAACTCTACAGCTAAATCTTCTATTAAATTTTTCAGACAATGCTTTAGCTTAAGAATCTAGTCGTTGTTCTTTTATTTCTATGCTTTTTTAATAAATTTCAAATCATATTAAATGACTCAGAAAAAATCGACTTGTAAACAGTTCGCTTTTGATACCTGATGTGTTTTATGTGTGAAAAGAAGCATGCTATGTAAAATTGGTTTTGTTAGTTTATACAGTTGCAAAGATCTTTACGTCTGTTTAGGGTGCCTTGTTGGAAAATGTGGGGAGCAGTATCAGAGCCGAATTTTTTACCCCAGATACGTCAGAATCTATCTTAGGTTCTGAATTTTCCCAAAATATGGATTGCTTCTTGAAATATTCGAAAATGCTATCCTAATGGAATGTGGGATACTTGAAAGTCACAGGATTTACCAAGATTCTAATAAATAGTAAATTCTAGACAAATACTACGCACTCCCTATTTTCTCCTAAGATCCTAGGATTTCAGTCCATTCAGCCTATGAATTTTTCTCGAGTATAGCAACGCTCTCCGAGTTAAAAACTCAGTTATCACACACGCATGCTGTTCATTTGATTACTGGATGCTAGGGCGCAAGCGACATCACACCATATCCACACTCATCCTCACCTATTAGTAGTCTAAGCAACAAAATGATTATATAATGAAATACTAGAACGATTCAAGGAGCATTCTCTTTTGAAGTGTATTCGTTGGAACTATAAAAGGTAAATTAATGAATCTAGTTATGTTTGAAGTCTTAATGTCGTTGTATTGTGTCCTAACGTGCGAAAAATATGACTCGAAAAGTTTCCGCGAACAGTTCACGCGTTGTCACAATTGGAATATAATCTTCACGTGTGTCCATACGATGTTCACGTGCGACCACAGTTCATTTCATCATACTCACGGGTGTATACGCGGTTTTATATACTAAAATTTTACGATGGGTGGCACATCTTTCAGTTCTTGTATGCAAAAATCCGTCATTTCTAAGTTTTTAGTTACTTAAACTTTTAAAAATAAATGATAAAAGCTTCAGTAATAGAGATTTTGGAAAAGTTTTTCATAAAAGTTTGTTACATGATACATATGTCTTCACTTTCAAATTTTTATTGGATATTAAATTCTCAAAATTTTTTTATTTCATCTGTTATAGGAGAAACAGAAAATGGATTGTTGATAAATGTGAGAACAAGATGTAAGCATATGACGCCTACATACAGTGTGCTAGTACACTTTATCACATATAATCACATGTAAAAATATTCAGAGAACAACAGCTGACAATTTCAATTATATTGAACCCGTGAGAATTTATGGAACACAAAATCAAAAAAACAGAATATTTTGAATTCTTAGAATTGTATGATGTGTTCTGGAACAACAGATGAGAAATGAACTCATATTCTAATTACAGTAAAAGATAGTATTACAATATTTTTCAGTATTTAAAATTTCTTTCGTTTGTAATAACATCAGAAGTAGAAACTTGATATAACACTATTTTCAGCTATTACAGTAGTATATATTCTTAAGAATGGGGCATACACACACTGTTTCAAAGGCTATGAATAGACACTTTCTTTTTTTCTTTCATTTGTAATCCCATAAAGTGGAGTGACTTTGTTTGTTATTCATTAACACACTACAGTTTGTGTCGTCATTTTTTGTAAAAAGAATACAACTATACATATTGAAAAACAATTAAGCAATCTTGTTGTCTAGTTTTAATAACAAGATGAATCGAGCAAGTCGTGAAGAACGTATTGATCAAGTTATACCCAAAACACGTTTTGGACAAAGTAATGGATTTATTGTTAATATCTTCAGTGATTTCAATGAAGCACTGATGTTTTTGAAATTATTAATATTATTTCTCTTTTTCCAGGTATAGCTACCTTATTCTATATGAAGCGTCATAAAAAGAAAGATATTTTTGGTCGATGTCCAGTTGTAGCTCGATCGCAATCATCATTTTTATGTAGAAACAGGACATTACCATTTGACATATCAAAAACATCCATGTCTATCAGATTAAATCCTGCTGATAAACAAATAGACAATCGTGTGCAACAATCTAATTTTTAATTGACTAAAAAGAAAACTATTCTGTGTTCATAAATTTTGATGGTGTGTAAGTAACAGGGTTGTTTTCAAGATACTGGAATTTTGAAAAAAAACATAATCTTACCCTTATTATCAAGTTGTTATAATTACCCAAGGTCAAAAACAACTACATAAATGGCCTATTAACGAAATGGCTAACAACAGGGCTTCAACAGGCTCTTGATTATGAAAAAATGGTTAGTTAACAGGCACCATTCATTGTCCTTCTGACCTTTAACGATGTTCTAAAAACAAGCAATTAATTGTGTGTTAGTAAGGCTTAGATTTAGATAACCATTAAATGGCATTTTATTGCTTGTTTTATTACAGTTACCTAAACACATAAAAATCGGACATTTAACGTTTACCGTTTCATTCACCCTTTTATTTCGTTGGCCTCACTACGATATACCGCACGTTGTTTTCTCATAGAAAGCGTAGAGTTTTATTCTTCCTCGACTATATAAGTCATCGGAACTTGTGTTGAGAAAGTAGCTACTGGCTCTAGGCATAGTGCCAGTGATAGCACTGATCATACCTTGGGAACCGAAAATATTCAAAAGTTTAAAAAGTCATTAATTTTATGGTTATGGTCAGAAAGAAATTAGTTGTGATCAACAGTCGGATCCTTGGCCATAAACAGTCAATAATTACGCAAAAATGGCCATTAAACGGTCACTATTAAATGCTTGTGTTCAGTCTGTTTTTTGCCTGAACGCGCGTTGTTTTCAAAAACGAAGAAATTCAGGAAAAACTTGTAGGTATTGGAGAAATATGCCATAATCCATTGATATCATTAAACTCAAATCCGATGGCGAAGATAGATCTTCTACCTGACGATACCTGATTGCCCAAACAGTAATTATAAGAGTGAAAACTGTTCATCAAAATTCAAACAAAAATTTAATAACACTGGGTATATATGAGCTAGCCCAAAAACCATATAAACAGAAGATCATCTGTTACAATTAGATTTACCAGAGAAAAACAGAGTATAATCGGGTATTCTATTTTGAAGCGAACTTCGCTTCAGAATAGAATACCCGATTATGCTTACCAATGATTGGTAAAGCATTTTTTGTCATATTTCCTGTTTAGAGTTAGCGTGACCACTATTTCTTTAAATATCACGGTCATACTCTGAATAAACGCATTTTTTCTACACACCTAGAAAAAGGAAAAGTGGTTGAAATAAGCGCGTGTCTTTTATCTGATCACATACGTTTAGAGATGTCGCCGAACTCACCGCTATTTGCGGCACTCCTTCATACGCTCCCCTATAGCATCAAAAGAAGTGAATTTCCTCCTCCGTCAATCTATGGTTTAAATCGTAAATTCTGTGAGACAAGACAGGAGGGGTTACAAGCTGTAAAAAAATACTGATCTGAATTTTACCTTACTATTTCAAATCGTAATAACTTTCGTAATTTTTGGAAGTTTTTCCGAAAATTAGAGTGTATAAGATTTTGGAATAACATATTGAGGACCAGTTACGTTGAAGAGGGCGTCATATGCCAGCGATAACGATAAGAAAACGAGCTGGGTTTCTTCACAATACTTTTGACCTCTCTGTCTTAGTACACGAACTCAAGAATTCATAATTCTTTTCGTTTGTGATCTTTCAGCACAGCCTCCTTCCAGTGTTGACCTAAATCCATATTTTACCCGTTTTCAGCAACCTTGCGTGAATAGTACGGACGACCTTGGCTCTCTAATTACCATACTCAGTGTAAGTGGGATGGAATAGTTATCGCTTTTAGAATGCCGTGAAAATATGATGAAAAGTAGAAAATTGCTACTTTGTCTTGTCAATTAGCCAAAGCAAATTATTTGAAAATGACTTCAACAATTCGAAACGGTAAGTAAAACGGGCTTATCAGCTATTCTCCTTTAAAGTAGACAGATGACACTGGATTTTCTCTGGTTTTGTTGAGAATGAGAACGTTAATTTGATTGATGAGCAGAGTGTTGAACGACTCTTTGAGGTTTTGTATATTTATTCCGACTTTAAGACTCAAAATATCTTGTACAGAAGAGCTTTTTGATATTATATTGAGTTGTCTACTACATTTTCAGGTAGATTATCTATAGATGCGATTTTTCCATTACCAGAGTTTTCTATTAATCTTGTATCAACGTTATAAATAATGTCTTTTGGTTTTTTTAGAAGAAGAAGTTCGAGAAAAATTGCTATGGAATTTAAAACGAGAAGTAATGTAGTTTTTTCATATTTTTAATTCTTACTTAATGTGTTCGGTTTTATCTAGGTCAAGCAAATGATGGAAGAAGCGGTGATGAAGAAATGTATTCACGAAGAGAATTGTAATGTAACAACATTATGTGGTAAGCTCTCGTGGATTTTGCTGTAAAATGACTTCAAGTCCTGTTTTCTTTTTAGCTGCCGTTGAGGTTTGTTTGCTTCATGGACTTAAACGTCGTGCTGTTGGTTTATTTAAAACAAGCACAACAATGGCTTTATTACAAAAAATCGCTAAACAATGTCCACCAGCAGCTGAAGTGGTTAAAACAGTGGATGAAATTGATAGTTTTAGTTTTTCGAAGTAAGTGTTTTCCTATAATTGTTAAGAAAGTATGAACTCGCTTCTTTATTTAGAAAATTATCGAGTATAACCCATCATACAACAAGTGTAGAAGAAACTCGTCGTACATTAAAAGCGGCTTGGTACACTAGATATTTATGGATTCGTACTGCTCTTGTTAATCGTTCATTACATAAAATTGTTGATTTTATTGTTAGAAATGGACTGTACGTAAATAATCAGACAAATATTCGTCTTCTGATAATATCTTATTTGGTTTTCTATTTAGAAAATATTATGAACCCTTCGCATTAGTCACGGACTCTGTTCAAGGACCAATATTTGCATCGCTTCTCGGTAATAATTTCACTACTTTCTATACCTTCACACGCTGACTATTATGAATGAAACCTTTTTTTACCTATTCTTTTAGTCTTTTGTTAAGAACTTTTAGAAATTTGATTTATAATTTTCAAATATTCTAGATATAGGAGTAGTTTTATACCCGTGCAAGTAAAAACACAAGCGTAAACAATCATTATAAAAAAAGAGATTATTACGTTCTGTATTATTCATGCATAGATTAGTTGAAGAGTTAGCTTTTTGCTATGGACAATCGAATATTCATAAAAACATGTGTTCTATTAATTTTATTTTGTTTTTTTAAAATAAGAAAGAATAAGTGTTCCTTGTATTTTGCCTTTCTCCTATTTTTATTCGTTTTCTTTTTTTCCCAAGCTAAGAGACTCTGAGATTCATTAATAAATGAACTTAGTAGTATATCTTTTGTATCTTTCAACATATTGGCATTTTTGCAATAGAAAAGGTGATTTTAAGTAGGAAAACTGCAGTTTTTTTGTATATTATTTTATAAAAGTAGTTTCGATATTCGTTTTGATTCCTCTTTTCCTTCAAAGTATTGCCGAATGATAGCAAACTGAGCTTCTTTCGTTTGTCTGTTTAGCTGGTCCATGTGCGCTTGAATTTACAAAAATGAAAACATCCGATCATTTTTGGTCCGATCCGCCAGCTGCTGAAATAGTTCAACGCCATCGAATGCATAGTACAAGGCAACCAAGTTCGAAACTTTCACCAAAAATGAAACCAAGATTACAAATGAATGTGAGTGAAAATTTGTCTGCTCTTTTTTTTTGAAAAAAAATGACTACTTTTCTCTAGCTTAAACGTCATGCTAGTTCATCGAGCGAAGAAACACGACCAGCACCTCCAGCGTCAAATTCTGCACGCGATTACGTTGAATCATTGCATCAAAATGCAAAATCACAGTTAATCTACGGGAAAAATAATGTTTTAGTACAGCCGGTATGTAGTATTTAACAATTGTTTTCAACCTCGTATATACACAGAATGATGATAATTATTATTATTGACTGACTATCGACTGATGTTTTATATGTCATAGTTACACTGACTGTGTTATGTATTGTTTCAGTGGGCTTTTAGCTACTCCAGTATAGATAACAGGAGAATTTCGTCTTCATTTAGAAAGAAGGACAAGATCCTATCCCTGGTTATCTATCATTGCATTTGACGAATAATGGTGTTATACTAAAATGGACCCCTAATCAACTGATGAATGGATACACATCGCTGAATGGTAATAGTGGTACTGGAACAGAAATAAGTGAAAGTCCAAAACGAACTAGGTATGTGACGCGAACATCTAGAATTTCAAAAGCATAGTGTAAGGTTTAAATTTTTCAAAAAGGATTAATTTACCATTTCTAGTGTGTATTGGGATTATGCAATATCGCTTAATATGTCGAATGTGGTTTATCTACATTGTCATCAACATCGTAAATACCTACTAAGAGAAAAAAATTTAACTCTATATTTTTTCTTACTTTTTCATCTTTGAAGTGGATGGAGACCGTATCGTTCTTGTGGCAAAAGATGGTGTTCAACATCCACCATTTCATATAAAAGATAAAGGTGGACATTTACTGGCATTTCTTTCATGTCTGGAAAGTGGTTTAGCTCCAAATGGCAAATTGGATCCACCGTTGTGGTTCGAAAAAGGTAAAGGTATGTTCGACTAAACATAAGATGCGTCGATTGCTTAAATAGAATAGAAACATTAGGGAAAAGAATGGATTGATCATTCTATTATATGCCTAAATTTGTTGGTTACGCGTTTCTTCTATAGGAAAAATATTTCCGAAATTACATCGTCGTAACGTTCAACAACAACAGGGATCTCAACTATCCCCTACAATAACAGCATCAACGACCACAAGTAGTGACGAAGAGGAGGAAATAGGCGATTATGTATTCCGTATTGTATTTTATCAAGATCGTATGTATCTACCGACCATTCGCATCGTTGTTGTTGTCATTGTACAAGTAAATGTCGTGTACGTGTTTTACTTTTAGTATTACCGTTTGTCTTGTAAAATATGAAACGATCTGTTTTAGGCGATATAGTCAAGGCTAAACATTGGCAATGGCCGACATCTCTATCATTATCGTCTCAAAATTCGTCATTACCATCTAGTAAGGAATCAATGAAATAAATAGTCAAAACTAACGTGTATTTAGTTTCTTTAGCAAACACTACGTTATCTTCACCATCATCTGGTTCTTCCGTTTCACAAACGTCACCACCACCAACGACGAATTCACCATCCTTAACAGAATCGTTTGCATCATCATCTGTTTATTCAACACAATGTGCATCTGGAATACATAAAAGTGTATCTGTCAGGTAGTTAGACGTTTTTTGTTTGTCAAAATGAGAAATTGTTAGAAGTTGTTGATAATTAGATGACTTGTTATGATGAATAGCCTTAATCCATTCTCAGAGGTTTTAGTGCACAGACAATCGCAACTGGTAGATGTCTATTCATCCGAAAGCCGTTCAGAATGATAGACAAGGTTCTCTTGTCTCAATCATTGTAATGTGCCGTTTAGACATAAAAGGTTGTTTTTCGATTGTCAAATCGAAACCGAAGATTTGTAACATTGGCGTCTGAACAGGTTTAATCATTATTCTAAACATGACTAATACTATTTTCATTCTAATATCACATTTTTCATTTTTTCAGAACGTCAATTGCTTCATTATGTGATACAATGCGTCGACAGATATTATCACGAGCATTTTATGGCTGGATTGCATATTGTAGACATTTAAAAACTGTTCGCACGCATTTAGCAGCGTTAATTTATCCAGGAACAAATTTAAGTGATGGGGAACAAGACGTATCGTTGTCTGTTGAAGCGTGGACAGAGTTATTTATTGATAGACGAATTCAACATCTTTCAATTGACAAAAGAGAAATCTATCGAAGAATATATTATGGCGGATGTGCACCATCTATTCGAAAACAGGTATACCAGCATTGATAACTCTGCTAACTCAGCCAACAATACCAATTAGCAGTATGGATTTTGCTAAAAGCGAAAATAAAATTTCTCTAATTTCCTTACTAATTCTCTCCAAGTATGCTATATACTATTTTAATTGTGTTTAACTTAGGTATGGCCTTTTCTGATGATGCATTACTCATTTGAATCAACAATTGAAGAGTGTGAAGATATTGATCGTACAACAGCTGAAAATTATAAACAACTTCTAATAGACTGGCGTGACGCGGAAGGTAATGTTTTTATCGTATAAAGAGAAAAATAATCATGATCTTTTTTTCTACGGATTTTTAGAAATTGTTCGTCGACTTGATCGTGAACTGTATGGAGATAAAGGAGCCCGATTAATCAGTTCAAGTTTAGAACCAAATGATACAATAATCGTACCTGTCGTTAGTACTGTACCTCCGGCGAGTGATAAAACGTTATTAGTACGAAAAGATTCTAGTTTTTCAAATGATGTCTTTTTTGAGGTAACAAAAACTTCACCTTTTTTTTGTTTAGCATTAATGGATAATTCGGACTATTTTAGGACTGCACAGTTCATAGTGTTGTCTTACCCACCGAAGGAGAATCTAGTCGTCAGACTACACCATTATGTGAAAATCAACCAATCATTGCAAATTCAACTCTAATTGCTACTACACGTACACAATCTGTCATCGATCGTGCATCGCCATACAACGTCATTGAAACACGTTCCGGTAGTAATGATGGTTCAGAAACGTTAACGATGGAACGCAATTTAAGCACTGATAGTACTCAAGCCAATGAAAATAAGGATGAAGATGATAATATTGGCAACGATCTTAATAACGATGATCAGGATCAGTGTAGTAGTGAGCAACAATTCCACATATCTTCGCCGGATTCAAGTTTAACTAGTAGTATGGATGTTTATATGGATGCGGTTGATATTTTACAAGAACAAGACAAAAAATCAGGTAAGTTTAGCGAGAAAATCAACTTTTTTCTTAAACAACATTTTGTCATAAAAAGATTGCCTATCAGTAACAAAATAACCAAGAGGATTTATTCGAGTTTGATTGTACATTTCCGTTATTCTAGATGGTTCATTAACGCCGGTTTACTATGGTCGTTTTTCGAAAGAAATAATTGATTTATTTTCCTCGAACTTACATCGCATTGATAAAGATGTGGCACGTTGTGATCGAAATTATACATACTATTCAAATTTGAATAATTTGAAAAAATTACGAAACATCATGTGCACGTATGTGACAGTATCAAGACTTATACAAAGTTTTGATTTAAATCTTTTTACATCTTGTTTCAGATATGTATGGAATAATTTATCACTTGGGTATATTCAGGGCATGTGTGATCTTGTTGCACCGTTATTAGTTATTTTTGATGAAGGTAATCGTATTTGCCTTTTTTTTACACTTTTATAAATACTTATTCTGTTTGTTTAGAAGTGATCACTTATAGCTGTTTTTGTTATTTAATGAAGAGATTAGTACCAAATTTTCCACATGGTGCGGGAATGGATGAACATTTTGCGAATATGCGTTCATTACTACAAATACTTGACTCAGAATTATATGAACATATTCATCGTACCGGCGATTTTACACATTTCTATTTTTGTTATCGATGGTTTTTGCTCGATTTTAAAAGAGGTAGTTTTTGTTATAAGCTTTATTTTGTCAGAATACCAGCGGAAAAATATTCCATTATAGTATTCGAAACTACAACTATCAAAAAGCACAAAATTAATTTTTGTACGAATAGAGATTCTAACACATGAACTTAGCTTTGCAGTAAACTGCAAAACTAAATTAAGGTAGTTTTTAACGTATAATTCTGTTGAAAGAGGGGTTCTACGCATCAAATTTGTAAAACACTTTAGAATTGAATTTCCTTCAAAGTAGTCTGGAATACAGAAGTAGTATTTGCCATGAAATTCTTAACTCATACAACGTCTATTTCTGTTATTATCCAATATTGAACGAATAGATGATAATTTTATGAACAAGCCTTTGTTGATAATCTGTTTATTTTGTTTAGAATTTGTGTATGATGACATATTTCGTGTATGGGAAACAATTGCATCGGCCAGACGTCTTGTATCAAAACGTTTTGTCCTATTTATTGCATTAGCGATGTTAAAATGTTATCGCGACATCATACTGGATAATCGAATGGATTTCACGGATATAATACGTTTTTTTAATGGTATGTATCTTGTACACGTACCTAAGGAGACCAATATATAAAGACAACATTTCGGATCCTATACGTGTTTATATTCGTTATAATTTTTTGATAATTAGATGACTTGTTATGATGAATAGCCTTAATCCATTCTCAGAGGTTTTAGTGCACAGACAATCGCAACTGGTAGATGTCTATTCATCCGAAAGCCGTTCAGAATGATAGACAAGGTTCTCTTGTCTCAATCATTGTAATGTGCCGTTTAGACATAAAAGGTTGTTTTTCGATTGTCAAATCGAAACCGAAGATTTGTAATATTGGCGTCTGAACAGGCCTTTTTAAACTGAGAAACAATATATAGTTACCTTTATTATTTACTAATTAGCTTCAGTCTGTTGATATTTTATCAAAATGACTTTTTATTCTAGAAATGGCCGAAAGACATGATGCTACTGAAATACTTCGCATAGCTCGTGATTTAATATTAGAATTGCAAAAATTGATTGATAATAAATGAAAGAACGATAGCATGTGTTTAACTTTTCGATAATGATAAGTCTTTATATTTATTTTTTATTTCTTGTTTGTTGGAAACAAACAAGAAAATAATTTTTGTTGTCGATGTATTCATTGGTGTCGTTTACTAATATTTATCTGTGTTTCCTTTGATGTATAATATTTATTAAAGTAACAGTTCTCTCATCTATTGTGAATATGTTGTTATTGTGAAGTCGACTACTTATTTATTTATTTATCTGAAGAAAAGAATCTTTTTAGTCCATGTTTTAGTTGTTATATTATAATAAACATATTTTTCCAACAAGTTATTTGTGCAATTATTGAGAGCTGCTTAGATTAATTATCATAAGTTCCTAATCAATTAAAATATTCATAATACAGAAATATTGTACCTTTTTTCTTCTATTTCTTATCCGTCACCCAGTATTCTTTTTTACAATCTCTTTTACAGAAGAACAAGAGTTGTTTGTCTTTTCGCGATATAGAGGCGAAACTCGGAGAAGAGAAAAAATTATTAGATGCTATAGACTTGTATATGCATAGACTACTTTCATAGGAGTAACATTGCGTGCTGCAAAAAGAGGTTTGCTAACCAAATGAGGACTGATCGTTGAAATAATATGTAACAGTTTTTCCATCTATTTTTATTGTCTGAGACGTTTGAGAAACCTTTATCAAGCAAAGAGGATTTATTCGTGCACACTTTCCTCAGCACTCATGCTGTCGGATCAAACGAATGCTTCTTATTCTTAAGATGAATTGAATTAGGATTTATTTTAATTAATTCTGTTTTTCCGAAAGTTCAACCTTTCGAATTCATAACAGTTTTTATTAGACAACTGTCAAAAACAACTGACAGTTGGCAAATAGATAATAAGACGTTGTATGGCACGACGTATACGTATCATCACTACCTTTCCTTCACTTGAACGATGAAAAGTTAAAAACAATTTTCAACGATTATTTCTCCAGAGGAACCAGACCCTAGTAATTCAAGCACTTGGTTCGCTTGCAAAAAAACGCAAGAACGTTGGACAAACTTGCGAGTTTACTTGGCCAAGTACTTGCATGCAAGTACATTCACTAGGGGATTCTTCTACTAGATTTTGTAATGTTCTTAATTTTGTAAGAACAGCTTGTATATGAGGATGTGCCGATGGTTATTTCTGCTTTTCTATATCGTATGCTTTTATCAAATAATCTAGTGCTTTCGTGTATTCGTTAAAATTCGAGTAAACTCCACTAATATTAGCATAATTCGTTATGATTTGTCAACGTTCGGATGCCAGTTTTCTCTTCTACAGACAACTTTCAAATAGTATTTCAGAGCTCTTACAGTCTTTTTTTAGCATCATAGTCACATCTTGGATTATTTAATGTTCTCACGATAGCTAAATATTCAAGGTCAACAACTTTTTTTGTATATTTAGAGCTCATCTGACGTAACGTAGCGCACGATCGTACTCAGTTTTACTTAGAAATATGGTATCTATCGAATCTGAACTATCGGCAACTGACTCGTGTGCATTTGTCAATGTTTTTTCTCTTATTTTTAGTGCTTGAGTGGAATACTGTGACGCTATGACGTGTTCTAATTGTTTTTAATAGACACACGTGATACAGTAAACATAAAACAGTGAGATTTAACTAACCAGAATCTTAACTGGTGAAAATAGACTAGAAATCGAATTGTTAGTAATTACTTACATGCACTTAAAATTAAACTGATTTCTAGGCTATTTTCATCAGTTAAGATTCTGGTTAGTTAAATCTTGCTTCACTACATTTTTTCATGCACACGTTACGCTGCGATTTGGTCCTAGAGTTCCATTTGTATTCTATGTGGGTGGAGTGCTAGCTCCGGCGAAAAATACTTTGTCAACTTCTAGGTCTTTGGACGATATTTTTCGCTTAGGTCACAGTTCTTCACAGGTTAATGTTAAGTGCATGTAAGTAGTTACTAACAACTCGATTTCTAATGTAAACATCTGGCTACTGCAGGACAACTATTTGGTAAATGTTGGTGCGTTTGTAATGTCTAAGCATGCATGCAATACAGTAAAGCATCATAATCATCATAATTTTCTTGAAAATAATAAGCTTATCCTAAATAAGTAGACACCCGGCAAATCTGAATGATCCGATGATAAATCTTTTAATAATATTTTTGAAATATACTTCTGATTTCGTATAATGTCCTACGTGAGCAACAAGACAATCAAAAAATAGCATAACACTCGTTTCTCTCAATTCTCTCTGACAGGCAGTCAAGATATTTTCAAGCCATAATCGCTGCTTCTGCGTGTTTACCATTTGAACCGCGTGCAAATTCTTATTTTGATTATAAGAAACACGCTGAATTTTAAATAATGAATTTAGATCGAACAATACCTCTGCTTCTTCGTAATATTTACTTAGTCGACTAATATCATCGCATATTATCAGTCAAGATCAACATCAATTTCAATGACTGCTGTTACAACGTTTTCTCGATATGCTGATTTCAAAGCAAACTGTGTTGCTTCCGTTTTCCATCACCTGACTGACAAAACTTTATTTGTAGATATCAGACTATTTACATACTTCTCTCATGTTTGAATTTCATCAATATTCAACTTGATTTCTCGATAAAGTTTAATAACCGGTTGATCTAGAGTGAGTTGTTGACCTTTTAATCTTAAATTTTCATCGACTAATTGTCTTCTCAAGTCAATGACTAGGACTGTAAAAGTTACCGTTACTTCTTCGGCCGTTATCGACAACGGTAACTATCAGTTAGTCAACTTAGCGGTAACTATTTTTTATGGCAGTGAAAGTATGGCAGAAATATCCAGGCAGCGCTTAAAATGGCTCCCAAATAGTGGCGTAACCAGGGGTGGGCTAGACCCGGAGCCGCCGGTCCACCGGCAGTCTTTGCCCGGTCACCGGAAGAAACAAAAAATAATTATTTCCACAAGATTTTTGTCGAATAATGTTGAAATAACTATTATTTGTTTATTTATTTCATTTTGTTTTTCTCTTTTGTTCACATAATTCCACTTAATAAAAGTGTAGATACAGTGGATTGTCTTTCTCTTAAGAAAGTGAAAATTGAGCAACTGTATTTCAGTTGTGGAAAAAATTTAAACTATCGTAGATGGATTTTTTTAATGGTCGTGGGGCACTGCCCTACCACCCACGGATTCCTGGTTACGCCACTACTTCCAAAATCGTTAGTTTCCACTAAAACTGTTGAAACTTTCATAAATGGCGTGGTCTTGTAGTCTAATTTCGTCGATGAAAACAAAAACATTTCTCAAGCTGGCCGTAGATGCTGAGGTCTCCAGAGACCTTAAAAACCGCAGTTACAAAACATGGAAGTTATATAATTTCGATTAGTTTGGTCGACTGGCACGTGTGTGTCAATCAAAATCATGTCATTTATGAAAGTTTCAACAGTTTTAGTGGAAAACTAACGATTTTGGAAGCCATTTTAAGCCGCTGCCTGGATATTTCTGCCATAATTAAGAAATAGTTACCACAAAGTTAACTAACTGATAGTTACCGTTATTTCAACGGTAACTGAAAAGACAGTTACTGTTAAAACAACAGTAACTGTGTTGCCAGTTAGCGTTAAATCAACGTAACGGCAACTTTCACAGTCCTATCAATGAGATAAAAGCTAAATGTAGCAGAGAGCGTCAACGTCTTTTGTACGTCGTACTTTGTAAATAAGTTTATATACCGAGGAAAAGAAAGGGATGAGATGTTTAACACGGATGATAAAATCCAGATATGTATGTTACAGTAGAAATTAAAATTTCAATTTTCACTGAATTCTTGTCAATAGAAATTGAAAGGCGACTATGA